AGGGAAAGATCAGTCCTGTGCAGCATTGAGGGTGGATATTGTCTGTTACACTTATAAAGCCCAATATTTTTCTGATGAGTACTTCCACTGGAATAGAAGGAGCCATCCAAAACTATTCAGGTTAAGAAGCAAATCTTGGAGAGATGAAGAACAGAACAATTTTCATCAGCTACAGATCAGCAGCTACTGGGAATCCAAGCTGGAGCCTGTCTTCCCTCCTTCTGACACTCCCCCACCATCACCATTATAAGTAAATGCTGTAACATGTATTGTCCACAATTGTCTTTACCTTTAATAAAATTAAGTAATGATATTAAATTATTGCATCTGCCAAAGGAAGGATGGCAGCTCAAAGCTACCCACACTCGTTTAATGTCATTCCCTCCCTACCCTGGAGTAATTTAGGATAATGAACAATGCCATCTTTCACTACGCTGCTTTCCAGCATTCCCTGTGCTCTAAGTTCTCTTTCATCAGATTACAATTGATTTTCACATAAAGAGAAGCATATCTATTCAAACAAGGTAAAACAATGGGCAACAGAGGAGCTGCTGGAGTAAACATCAGATTGATAAAGCAGTGCTTGACCTATGCTTGTAGCATTTACTCATATTCCCCTGTAATTCATTTTGCTTCACTTTCAACCGTTTCATTTGAAGTCCCTAATTTCCAGGGTGCTTTTTTAAAGACCATTCACAAGGATTTCTATGGCTGATTGTTACACACTTCCCTTCTCAGATAAGGGTTTGTTCTGAACCTGGCATATTCTTAAATCATTACATTCCGAAGGGTCTTCCCCTCCCATAAATGCCTTTGCTGGCATCCTTCTTTCATTCCTCTGGAGCTGGCCTGTCTGAAGTCATGTCTAGCTGAAAAAGTAATAATTCATTCTGATTTTCAGGTTGCATCAGACTATACTGAAGTTGGTTAATCCCAGACTTTGTCCTTCATCTCACTCAGTACCTGACAGCACATAAACATGCAGACAAACATCATTCTGGAGGAGAAAGGGATTGATGTGGGGGTACAAATGATGAATCCAAACAATGACTTGGCTTTGTGCAATAAATCTGGAGTCTGGGCAGTGAAACCATGCACAGCAGAGTAAAACCAATTAGCTCACTGCAGACACTCCTAAGGAGGTGTGGAATCGAGATGGATGAATACAAAGGATAATTATTCAGGCTTTCTTCTAAAGGGAACTCCATTTTCCCCAATGTTCTTACTTTTTTTTCTAGCTGCTTTTGCTAAAAAACTGTGAAAGCCAAAACTTGTTCATATGAATGTCTGCAGGAAAGATTTTTGTGTTGTCTCCAAGAGTTGCCAGTGATGATGCAACTTTTAGTACTGGCAGAAGTAGCTTAGGAAGACTGAATTGCCTAGAGAAATAATTTTGTGACCCAGGTCTCCTCCACACCTAAGGGCATACTCCCAACCAAGTGCTGGCAAGCAAGCCGACTGCTTATCCTCTCCACACGATATTTAACAAAGACACTTGAATAGCAGGCAAATTAATAAACAACTGCAGTCTGGTTGCAGCAATTTGTGTAAAAAGAGAAAAAAACCTAGCAAAAATCTCCTAATAAATCACTGTGATGTGCCTGCCCAGCTGCAGCACGGAAACAAGCAAATGCCATCCTAATTGATTGCCTCTTATTCCATCTTTATAGGCCTGTATTTTTTATTGTGGGGGTTGAGTAAGCCCAGAGGTGTAAAAATCCTCTAGACTGCACTCTGTGTATCTGCCAACTTGATATTTAGATCAATAATCCTCTTCTTTTCCCCCCTTACTCCTACTACCAGTAATTTAGCTTTTCTTCCTAGCAGGCTAATTGCTGTTTCCTTAAGCCTCACTATCAATTCTCCGACCTTTAATTTCCAATACCATGTGCTGTGCAGGTGGCTGTACTGGGAGACCCTGCCCCCTCCCTGCCATACGGCTTGGAGGTGGCTACCAGCTTCTGTGACAGTTCCCCAGTGACCTCCAGGTTCTCACTCCACCATTCCCACTGTCCGGCAGAGACCACCAGCTCACTTGACTCCCCACAAAAGCTCCACAAACTCCACCACTTTGCGTGCAAATCAGATTTGCACCAGAGCACCCAAAATGCTAATTTCTTAAACACATTTTATTAAGAAACTACTCACTTTGGTGTGTTCTCAAATGATGGTCACCCTCTAGGTCCCGATGTCCTCACTTCTTTCTGAGGCAGCCCCTGCTCTGCATTACACCAGCCAGCAACCCCCAACATAAGCCTCTTTGCTGTTGGTTTTCCAGGCTCTTGCTCACAACATCCCTGGCTCTGGAGTGTCCCTGCTGCAACTGCACGTTCACTTGGAGCTGTTACGCAGTCAAGCCACGTATGCATCTGTACTTCAGACTAGTTCTATGCCATGTGGCAAATGCTTCCCAAAACATTACCCATAAAGCCCAACACACTCCTGCCAGTTCACAGTTTTGCTCTGCTGGTACAAGGCCCAGCTGTCACCGTGCTCATTCTGAAAGAAATTGCTCAGGCTGCAGGCACCAGCTCCTGGTGGTCAGCAGACTTGGTCAGCTGAGTGCAGGGAAGTGCATGACAATTAGCTCACCAACTTTTAAAGAATGCTTTGGAAGTTCTGCCTTTATCTTCGGTGGTCTGTGCTCTCACCTCTCTGGTATTTAGGGATAGGATGAGTGGGAATGGTTCAAAGCTGCACCACGGGAGGGTTACACTGGACAGTAGGAAGCATTTCTTTACCAAGTGGGTGGTCAAACACTGGAACAGGCTTCCTAGAGAGGTGATGCCCCAAGCTTCTCAGTGTTTAATGGGCATTTGGACAATGCCCTTAATAACATGCTT